AATTTACCGTTTAAAATTACATATAATAATTTAAGAATAATAAAATTGCAAATGGAACTTCGTTTCTTAGTTACAGGTAATTAAAAAATCGACCCAACAGCCCTTGAGGTCTGGCAACCTGCCTTGCCCAGCGTTGGCCCGTGCAGGGCGGTTAGCCTGCCCTCAGGCGCTTTCAGTTCAATTTTTAAAATACTCCTAACTAAGAAACGGGGTCTCACTCGCGATTCTTTTACTCTTCCTCTTCGCTTAATTCTTTAACGTAGAAGCATCACTTAAAATTTCTCGCTGCTATCAAAAAATTTCTACTTCTTCCACCGAAATCAGAGTAAACAACAGAGTGTAAAACAAGTGAAAAACACTAGCTACAATGGTTGATAACGTAAAAGTATTCAGGCTGGAATATTCTGTTCAGCCTGGAATTTCTACAGCCTGAATGTTTTTTCATTATGAAAATTCAATTCCCCGGGATTTCCCTGGCTCGTTTATCTCGCGTTTCCGTTATTCCGGCCGCGCCAGCCCGCGGGGCTGCTTTTTCCTGTTCCAGCAGGGAAAAATCCAGCGGCTCGACTGTTCACCGTGCGATCAATCAAACTACTGGCGACCTAAGAACGCTTTTTTCCACTATTTGATCGCGATCGCTGGAGATTCGGAATCGAGTGGCCTGGTACTTTTGTTTCCCGTCTTCCGTACGAGCAGAAGCGGGTTTTTTAATCGAAAACTCGCGGACGTTTGATATTGGATATTTGGCCACAAAGGAATTGAGTTTGGACGTTTGTTTGGAGTGGTGTTCTCGGGTCGATTCGGAGGACTTTAATTGATTCGATTTAGTTATTGTTGTATTAAATATTTCGAGTTTCGTTCAAAATTTTTAATCAACGCGATAAATTGCTCGCTGTTTGGGTCGGTTTTTAGCACATTAAATGAAAAATCATCGGTGAATTGTTACTTGTAGATTTTTATCAATGTTTGACTCCGTGTTCTTCATTTTTGAATATTTGATCACTCTGAGATTTTCTATGATAGAAAGTGCACTAAAAATGCAAAAGATTTATCTAATTTCAGGCAAAGTTTTTAATTTTGAATTTAAAAAAAATTACCAACGCAGAAAATGGAAAGGCTCGGTTAATTGCCACAAAAGATACTTTTGGGAATTTTTCATAACTGAAAAAGGGTCATACAATCTTAACAATAAAAAAAAAACATATTCAGGATCTAAAAATACATATCTCAAAATAATTGAATGGATGAGAAGAAGAAGATTCTACTAAATTTGAATTTGGAAGAAACTGGTATGCAGTTAAACTAACGATTAAACGAAAAATAGTAACAATCCCCAAGTGACAATTCTAAAATAATTTTAGTAAATAAGCAGCAATATTCCAAAAAGTATTCTTTTCTTTTCTGATCTCACCCATTCAATTACTAGCTACATTTCTCAGTGAAACTTTAGACATCTCATTAATTCACATGCAAAGATTTCCTCTAAGAAATACTATTCTGATCAAAAAGTTCCAAGACTAACTTGATCTGTCATTATCCTAGTGTGATACACAAAGAATTCCTACCAACCAGTCAAACAGTCAATAAACAGTACTACTTAAGTATCATGAGGCATTTACGTGATTCGATCCTCAAAAACTGAATTTATGGGAAAATAACAGACAGATTCTACAGCACTTCGATGCTTGTTCGCGATTTTTTGGCCAAAAATTCGACTGACAGAAAACTTAAAAGAAAATTCCCTAAATGAGCTAAATCATCTCAAAAATCGAGTTCTAGCGATGCTATGAAATTTGGAAAAACCGTTGGCATAAGTGTATCCTAAGCAGTAAAAGGATTATTTCGAAGGCGACCAAATAGATATTGACGAAGAATTTGTATTTCATTTGATTTATCCTGGAACTTTTTGAACAGAATAACATCCATCGAATGTTTCCAATAGTATTTTTGACGAATTCTTCGCTACTCACCGGGTATTCTGGCGCGTGGCTGAGACCCAGCTCCCATCAACAACTGTGGAAGGAGCTCGCCACCGAGTGCGAGAGATGCTGCATCCAAATTCGCGTCCCCAGTAGGCAAAGAGGGGTTGGTGTAATCCCTCGACTTGTCGTTGTTGTACTTTACGTTCAAGTTCTGCATCTTGCTGTAGTCGATACGTAGCGTGCAACAGGAATTATAGATGTTCTGGCCCTCCAGTGACTGAAAACAGAGAAAAAATAATGCAACTCGTTAAACTTTACGAAATATGCAAGAATAAAGGAGTCTAATTGAAGACTGGATATAGAAAAATCAAATCTAACTATTTGTCATCGTTACTGCAATGTATTACTACAAAAAGACGATATTATCAGCACAATAACCCTTTCAGTTCCAAATTATGTAATTGATACAACGAAATGAAAATAATTCAGAGTACACGAGACATCCAAAAGATCCAAATTTTGTGTCTCTGTCATTGTTATTTAATGTTATTAAGATTTTTAAGAGAATCGTCAAATCTTGAATTTTTAATTTAACAGGAAATTTTCAGCAGTATTTTTCAATCTCTTATATCCTTCGTATAGAACATCGACAAAATACTCCTTCCCAATTAAATGTATGTAAAAGAGGGTGTGAATGTCGTTGAATTTTCATCTTTCCTTATAGTATAAAACTTGTCCATTCGTTAATTAATAAAACTTCAAATATTAAAACAAAAATATTGTAAGATTATAGCATGAACTAGTGCAGTACATGTAAAGAATAAGTTTCGATATATTTTGTTAATAAATAATATTTTAGTGACTAAAAAATTCTTCTCTTGAAATTTTTATAGCCCTTTTTACATATTCAGTCTCCAACTGTGCTCCACTTAATTATCACTTGTTTTCGTTTTTATTTTTCATAAATTGAGGACAGATTGAAACATTTATTTGCTATATTAAAAAAAAAATGTTCAGCTTTCTATTTTTTATACTAATGAACTTCAAAGAGACACAAAAGATTCATCGCCATAATCGCAGCTCATTCGCCACACGATCGTATAACTAACTCCCTACCATGGCATCCACCAATTACACTAATTAGATCCCCTCGTTCCCTGTTCGAATTACCACAAAACACAAAATCCAGCCAGCCCTCTGCTCGATGGAAACCGATCTCCCGACCAAAATGATTCGACTGAAACCACATCGCTCCCTTCGCGCTCATCCTTCACTTTCCACCGCAAACGAATCGCTAAACCGAAATCTGCGAGAGAAGAATGCTCCTGGCGCTGCCCCCACCACCTGATTTTTATTATTACGTTATTCTATCTACTATATTCCGGGTGAAATGTAATTCCAACGACAGAAATTTTTCCTGTATTTTTGTTACTTCCGAAAACTTTTTCATTCGCAAAAAATAATTTCGTTGGCCATTTGTGCAATTTACTTCGTTTATTTTTTATTGTTATTTGTTGTACGTTTTATGGAGACTCTAATAAATCGAATTTGAAGTAGATTGTTGAAAAGTAATTAACTAAAGTTGGGCAATATTTTCTATAATCACGAAACAAACTTTCATCCTAAGAAAAGGACGGAGAAAATATTCTGGAATGACGGTTGAAGGTTTTCCTTCTTGAAGCAGTAACGAAATACTATCATATTCGGCGATGTAACCACGTCAGAATAACAGTAGAAGGTTCTGTAAGTGTGTGCATTATCGTTCTAAAGCCAGTGGGTCTCCAGTGACCCGGACACAGGATAGCGAGGGTTAATACACTACAGTGGTTGATCAAATTATTAGAGCAACGATGCGAAAAATATACTTTTCGTTTTTGCGTAGAAATAAAATCACGACATCAAGGTTTTCACACTAGATAATTTTTAATTAACGACCGTTCACTAAAGATGCACAAAACAGTTAAACTCAGCTTATGTAGCTATAAAAAATTATTCCTTAATTCCTATTTCGACAGATTTTAAGTAATTTACTATGCATTACAAGTAATAAAAACACAGCAACAAAAATTAATATGCTCGAGATCTATAAACCAAGGAAACTGTAACACCTGGTGTTCTCAAGTGGCGATTTGCAGTACCTATACAAAATAACGTCCATACGACAGATAATGTTGCCTAAAGTGTTATATTTGCAATTTGTAAACATCAACGCTTCGTAAAAAAAAATAAGAAGAACTTAGTATAACCAGGCTTCCATCTAAAAGTTAATCGTTACAACGTAAAATCGTCAATTTTCTCACAGGTGGCACTAATAAGTTGATCATCCACTGTACGCAACGAGAACAACCTATTAGTTCAAACACTTATACTCTTTTCACGTATTGCAAAAAAATGTTCCAACCATTTGGTAGCATTGTATCGTCTCATCTCTGCCTCTGTGAAAATCATCCAAGCCACAATTATTCCGGCAAATCGCGGAGAAACAGCGTATACAGTAAGCACCGGAAGCTGGCCCTTTCCGCGCGTTTCATCCCCATTAATAACAACGGGAAACGGCAGAGCTAATGCAGTTGCAGCCTAGGTGGAAAGACGCGGCGGCGCCTAATTACGTATGCACGTTCGACTCTGCATAGGCGTAGCCAGAGCAAACCTGTCGACCGGGTCACGTGTTTGACCTGCGTGTGCATTGTTGCAACATGCACGCGTGTACACCGAAGCGTGTATCTCTCTCCGCCGGCCATATTTACACGGGCTAATGAATTTCATACATAATTACCGGCTGGCCAGCGTGCAGCTAGCCTGCGGCGTCGATTCTACGCTCTACGGCCATCATTTGGTGAACTTGCGTTCCTATTTGCTACGATTAGACGATGATCGAGGAGAAGTTAGGCGATACTTCTTGCGTTTACACTTGGGGTGGAGAGGATCTCTTTGTTTTCAGGAATGACTGGAAAGATCAATCTTCCGTAACACGATGCGTCATTTGCTATACCAGTGTATCGTTACCTGCCAATTAATTCTTACCAATTGACGCTTCAACAACTAAAATGTAAAATTGTGACGATCGATTTTTCCTTCTGAATGAAGAAAAGATTGAGCTCTAGAGTAACCTTAGCACTCAAGTTCGTACTTGAGTGATCTCAAGTATAAGAACTGATCACTATTAGATAGCGTTTGAAAAGGCAATTAAAACGATACGAAAGTTTATCGAGGATCTTTAATTAGCGAATAAAGATTGACTCAATCGACTGCAGAAAAGAGAAAAACGTTTATTGATAGAGATGAAATACAAAAAAAAAACGAAGGCGAAAAACAGTTACTCAGTTCGGGGTTCTCGCACGACTACTTAACACATTAAGGACCGCTAAGAAATCTATAAGACATACGCCTAGGACCGCACGTTTTTGGGCAAGCTTGCACGTTACTAAAATCCTCATTACTTTTTTATTTATGAAGCAATTTTTGCGAAACTTTCAGAAAATTGTAAAATAGGATGTATCTTAGGTATTATTGAAAAAAAAATTATGTTTTTTAATAATTATCATAACTTTTTTACTTAAAAAATAAATTTTTACGAAATTTTTAGAAATTGTAAAATAGGATGTATTTTAGGCAATTATTAAAAAAAATTGGTTTTTAATAATTATCATAAAATTTTATTTAAAAATCAATTTTACCAAAGTTTCTAGTACTTTTTTAAAGTATGATATTGCGTGAAAGATTTTTCTCTATGAAGAGGAACCATACAAAATTTACATATATATCTTGATTCGCTTCGAAGACGAAGACTATTCGAATCACCAAAATGCAATGCAACGTGTCGAATTTTCTCTGAGACTAAGCTGTTTTTATTTCGGGTTCGTGCATTTATACAGTCTTTCATAGCTTGACCTGTACGGTTTCCACCAATGGGATTGATCTCTTCGGTGTGGATGAGACGAAAACGGTTAATACATTGACTATTGATGTAAACACTTAAATGGACAAAGTAGATACAATGTATCAAAGTAATTGACATCTAAAGACAACGTGTAGAAAACACGGGTTTGTCTCGTGATCCGTCCGTAACAGACGGGGCGCGCAGCACGAGAAAACTCGTGAGCGGTCCTTAATGTGTTAAGAGGAAATGTGAAATTCTACGAATCCCGATGGAAGAAATTACCGTACGAAGTAATTTTGAAATACTCGTTACGAGTAATTTATCTTCTGAGGTAAAAGAAAAAACAGGCTCGTTGAAAGTTTCCTTCGAGCGTGGCCCATTCATCGCCAGGCTAAAAATGTTTCTCGTTGAAGCGTGAAAAAGTGGTTCGTAAAGAGGCTGGTTTCGCGATTTAAAGAGGCTCATTGAGCGCAATTTGGCAAATTAGAGCCAGGCTAATCCGAAAAAGATCGACGAACGCTCACATTTTGGCCGACAGATGGGGCGCGAAACACGAGAAAACTCGTGAGCGGTCCTTAATGTGTTAAAATGCGGAAAAACATTTGTTATATACTCGGCATCGTCTCACGGTCAGCGGACCCATGGCTTTTATGGCCTACGTTAAGCAGAGAAACTCGCAGTAGGAAAGTAAAAATTCAAAATACAATCTATTCTCAATAAAGTTACTTTGTAAAAAACTGAAATTAAACAGCGTCCAGGATGTTTCGTTAGTAAGCCCACTTTGCAAATGAATTTCATTTAATTATAACACTGTCATCTTCGTTTACTCCCTAAGTTACTCTACGAACAAAACTCTACTCATTTCGTTAATTAAACTACCTTAAGTCAATTCGCAATCACTCTTTGACTCTCCCAACAAACACATTCTACTATCTCGTTAGCCAAAAAAAGAAAATCCCACAAAAAGACATACATACAGAAAGTTTCTCTCTCCGTTCATGCCAAACTATTTCCAAAGCTTGATGCGGCTCGTTTGAGCGACGAGCGCGATATTAAAATAATTTCATTCCAGGTATCCGGTCAACTTTGTTAACCCAGATTACGTATTCTTTGTACCTCGCAGAAGCTGTAGCTCGCCATTTCGTTATACTCCACGATGACGTAGCGAGCAAGAGAGAAATTGAAAAAAAAAAAAAAAAGAGACGAGGAATATCGCGTTTGGAATTATGCACGTTCCACGTTGTGTTCGAAAGTTTCGCTGATTTTTCAGGCCGATTTCTCTTCCGGTCGGCTAATCAGTTTGAAATTTATCCCTACCCCCTCCGTGCAGGCAATTAATTAACCCGCCGCTTTTGTGGGACCAAGCATGTTAATAATTGCCGCGGCAATTCTTCCGACGGAATTAATGGAAATTAACGAACGGTGTTTGTAGAATAAGCACAGGCGTGCTGGATACGAGTTCCAGGGAAGTGAAATTCGAGATTACGCTTGGAATAAAACGAGTCGCGGGATTTCATTTTTGATAGGGCGCTTGTACGAAAGATGAAACGGTACAGCGTTTTAATTTGATACGATAAGTGATTGTCGCTGCTTCCCGAAGGGTTTCTCTTCGTTGTTATTTGTTCAGCGGAATATTCTGCGACTTAGATTTTCTAGGAATTGAATAAACGTGCGATTTTTTGTTGCAGTATTTATTGTCGCTTTTAATCATAAATATTCTCTTTGGTTATTAGATTTCTTGAAGTAGTGTACGTTCTTGCTAATGAATAATCGAATTTTGCGAAAGTTGTCTCGTCGATGTTGAAAAAGTTTCTTTGTAAATATGCAAACAATGTGAAAAAATAAATATTACATGGAGAAACGTATGGAGAAAATTTACAGAAATTTCCATATTCTATCAATTGCTATGCTGCGAAAAAACAGAGGATATATAACGAATAATTTTCCTGATGTTAAAATATTTTTAACACATACGAAGAATGAGAAAAATCTAATATTCTTTTAAACATTCTACAAAAAAAATGCACTTCATTCGAGTTTGAAAAAATTAAAATATTACATACTGCCAGAAATCATATTAAAAATAACGAATATCTTCCTTGAAATACGCGAGAAATCAACAACCGAATATCTGTTAAAAAATATCGCCAGATTTGGAAAATCCAACCGACCGTTAAATCAAACGAGCTTACTTGTTTAATTAAATCAATTAATCAAACCTACGGCAAACTCGTCCCATGAAACGTCATTAGGGTGCAAAGAAATTCGCGAGGCGAGTATCACGCACACGATGACGTGTCCCCCCTCGCCGAACCGCTTCCACCACCCTTTTTCCACGGGAATTTCAGCGCGATTATTTGCATTTCCCCCGGACGGTGATGTAATTGCCTGCCACGAAACGTATTTCGCCGCGTTCAATTAATATTTACGGTCCGCGAGCGAGTTCAAACAGCCGGGATTATAATATCGTCGCTGGATTAAGTGCACGCGCTGATGTTTCAGAGTTAGCAGACTGCAGACGTGGAAGATTGCTCGTGTGTGTGTTTAACGTGCGTGGAGGATTGTTTGATATTGTGTTATAATGTTGTCTTTCGCGGAGTAAAGCTAACAGAATGACTACGTTACTGTGATTTTTCTTTTATTTTTAGCCGAAGGATGAATTTCAGAATGTAAGAAGAAGCTGGGTGAAATAGTTAGAATTAAGAATGTTTCGCTTCACGGAGATACCTTTGTAAGTCGAAGTAAGAGATTTTCGAATGTGCGTGGAACATTTTCATGGAAATTACGTTAATTGAAATTGAGTCGAGTTCAGTTATGTCAAGTTAAGTTGAAGTGAGTTGAGCTTAGTTAAGTTGTGTCAACTCAAATCAAGTGAAAGTAGAATCGAGTCTGGATGAATAAAATCAGGTCCAAGTCAAGTTCAGTATAAAATCAAGTCTGAGTCGAAATGAGTCTAATCAAGTCAAGACCAGTTGAATTGAGTTAAGTTGTGTCAAATCAAATCAAGTGAAAGTCGAGCCTAGATAAATAAAATCAAGTCCAAGTCAAGTCCAGTGTAAAATCAAGTCTAAGTTGAAAGGAGCCTAATCTAGTCAAGACCAGCTAAATTGAGTTAAGTTGTGTCAAATCAAATTAAGTGAAAGTCGAGCCTAGATAAATAAAATCAAGTCCAAGTCAAGTCTGAGTCGAAATGAGTCTAATCAAGTCAAGTCCATTTGAGTTGAGTTAAGTTTTGTCTAGTCAAACCCAGTTAAGTTGTGTTAAGTCGAGTCAGTTAAGTTCTGTCAAGTAATTATTTAGGTTATTTATCCAAGAATAATAAAAAATATTTTCTATTATAAATCCAAAAGAGATATTAAGTAACCTTATAGTTTTCAATTTCTCATTAAACCAAAATAAAAACTTGCAAAACTCTGAAATTTAGAATAAATTTCCAATAACCAAATAGAAATTTAAATATCCAGTAATACTCCAGTAAAATTTTGTAGCACATCAAAGGAGAAAACAATGAAATTAGACAGGAAATATTTATACAGAATTCTTTAAGCGAAATTTCATGCTAAAATTTGAATCGAATGCAATTTTGTTTCACGTGAAACGCGTATTGTTCAGATTCTTTTAATTTCTTTTCCTACTGGAGAAATTAAACGACAAACATGATCGAAAGAGCCACTTAAAAGGGCAAAGTCGAATTCCATTTGGTCTGAAAGCAAACCCTGCTTCCTGCAGAATAGAAAATTATACAGAATAACATTTTTCTTCGATTGATTTTAGAATTCCATAAACTTCAGTCGATCGAGTCCACTGATAGAACCGGGGACTTATATCTAAGAGGATTTCCGTGCAAAAACAAACTCAAAAACGGAGAAACAGAGGATAAGAGGTTGGGGAAAAGGTAGAAGTACCTCGATCTCACCAGTAAAATCAACTTCTCGATTTCTTTAATTCATACACACAGTAAAATATTTTGTAAAATATAAAAAAGTAAGACACGAATATTTTTCGATTCTTGAAACACTACAATACACAGAAGTTGAAATAAAATTTTCAGAAGAAAATCA